TTTAACAACTCTGAGCTATTAGTTAAGTTCTCCCCAAGCGAGCTCGATGGGCCGAATGGCCTCCTCTCATTTGTATAGTTCTTATGTTCTTAAAACAGGGTAGGGTGAATCAAGCGAGAACACAGGGCAAGCTTAGGAGCACATGCAGGCAGCGATATCAATGACTGGACTGCAGAGCTTAAGACAGGGAGGCACTATATACACCACTGAGAAGCAGACGAGCGGCACCTGGAGTGATCCACACAAGGGCTGTAACGAGAGGCAAGATTAAACAAGTAACAGGTGTGGCTCATTAGAAATACAACTCGTTAGAGCCACAAAATGGAGAGAATGAGGGAGAAGGGATGCAGGGTGTGACACTGCCTGTGTTCCTTAGTGGGTCATTGTATGTGCTTGTGTAGGTGTTACTTTGTCAATAAACCCCTTGTGGTCATGTAGCCGCGAGTGGATCATTGCCTTCTTTATTCCTGCACCATACCATGCTGTAACAAATTTTCCTTATTGTGTTGCACTGTAACATACAATGCTGTATTTAAACCTGTCTTGAGTGATTTTAAAAGGATAGGTTGCTTTTGGGAAGATCAATAAATTTGAATGTGTAGCACTTTCTACTTAAGCACTTTTAGAAGCTGCTATTTTTTGTTAGAAGTTCTACTGGCCATAGATAAAACATCAACATCTGTCCAGCTCCTCACATCATTATTTCTGCCTTTCTGATAGGCAACAGATAACCAGAAGAAGCAGCAGGTGCACCATGTATCAGATCCAAGCCTAGAGAATTTGGATTCAACATTTTGACAAATGAAGTGTTACTGGCAGAGATGTTACGACCACTGATTACTATAAGCGAGTAGAAACAAAGGAAAACGATAAAAAGAGCAAAATAACGAATGGCCTTGGTAACTGGAGAATGAATCTGTCCTGTACTGATCCTACTCTATCAATAAAGGATAAATAAATCGTGACTGAGTATGTCACATCTGTCCCTGACTTTCTAATCAGTTAATTAAGCCTGTTCTGGGTTGGTGGCAATTAGAGCACAACCTTACTTAAGCAGAGCAGTGAGTAATTCTCACTGCTTGGTCGTCACCATTGTTCTTAGAGCATAGGGCTCACTTGGCTTTCAGTCAGAGGTCTGTTTTCTCTGTGCCTGTCAGTTGCCAGCAGGTACTGGTTTTTGGTGGCTTGGGGATCATGGTTCCTGTTGACAACTACCTCCACCTCCGGCAACTACCCTCCAACCTGCCTGCCCTTGGCTCAACGCGATGCCTCGCCATCCTTCGATGCGGCTGTGCCTCTATTAATCCTGCCATCGTGCATCAAGCACCCCGTGCCTGCAGCGGTCAGCCACTGCATTGAGACTTATATTTCAACCCCTGTATTAGCTTAGTCATTTCATCTTGTCTGTATTAGCTTAGTCATATCATCTTGTTTGTTTGACTCATCTGCCGGCCCCTGGAGGATGGGCTCCCCCTTTGGGTCTGGTTCCTCCCAAGGTTTCTTCCTCTTAGGGAGTTTTTCCTTGCCACCGTTGCCTTTGGCTTACTCAATGGGGGGTCCTTACGAGGCAGAAATGTAAAGCGCATTGAGACAATGTAATGTTGTGATAATGCGCTATATAAATAAAATTGAAATTGACTGGCATCTTGCTTTGGGTTTCTGATTAATTTCTGGTTTGGGGATTTTGTGTCCCAAGTAGTTGACAATCCACAGCTGGTGTGTTGTGCTGCTGGTGTCCTGTCTTTGGGGTTTTTAAGTACCTGCCCCTTCTAGGTTCCCTGGTTCCTGATCGTCAGCTCTCTGCATTTGAGTCTGCCTTCTGGTTCCCTTCATCCTGGAGCCGTCCATACAGTCAGTGGCTGGTCCTCATAGAACTCTGTCCCCCTGGGGGGGTATTCCATGAAAGGAGCTAAAAAAAAAACAGACTTTCCAGAAAAAGACACACTCAAACTAGCGGCATCCCTAAACTTAGCCTCAAGTCATCCCACTAACGCAGTTCGGCTTTAACTAATCAAGGCTCATACAAGACAGACTTGCATGTCCTCTTGCTCTCCAGGAGACCGAGAGACAGGGACCTGGCTGGGATCTGCCATGCTGGGGAGGTGGTCGGGGTGACCCACCGGAGGGATTCATTGGGGCAATCACCAGGGAAATCCCGAGGGGTCCCACTCAAGCTTCTCCATCTCCACCAAGGGGGAAGGAGTGTTGGTCCAACAGTCTGGGACCTCCTCAGGGCTTGAGAACTGGGACAGGAGTGGGGGCTGGATGAGGGACTGGATGCATGGGGACTGGATCTACGGGAGCCGGAACCGCTTGGACAGGAACCATGGGGGCTGGAGCAGGAACTGCCAGGACAAGTACCACGGGGGCTGGAGCAGACCCCCTTCTTATGCAGGACTTGGGGATCTGCAGGATGGCATCCTCGGACTTCCTGGCACCTTTCCTGGCTAATTGTGTCCCCAGGAAGTCACAAGCCTCGGACACGATCTCTGGTATCCGCAGTGCGGACTTAGGATGCCGATCTGGGCAAAGTGGCAGCAATGCGGCCTTCAGGTGCGAATACCGCTAAGTCGAGAACCAGGAGGGGTTCCTTCTGATGCGCAGCAGGAGAGGCAGCAGAAACCGACACAGGCCCCAGTGGTAAACACGGCCTTGTCCCAACTTTTTTGAGACGTGTTGCTGCCATGACATTCAAAATTACCTTATTTTTTCCTTAAAATGATACATTTCCTCAGTTTAAACATTTGATGTGTTTTCTATGTTTTGTTATGAATAAAATATGGGCTTATGAGATTTCCATATGATTGCATTCTGTTTTCCTTTACAATTTGCACAACATCCCAACTTTTTTGGAATTGGGGTTGTAAATATATCTTTCTGTTCATATTATTTGAACAGATTTTTTTTTTCAATTTTATTTCATGTTTGACCTTTGTAATATGGGTGCACTTTTATTTTAATTATTTTGGAATTAATTGGAATGCTGAGACGTGATTTTTTTATAGGCTTTATTATATTTATTATATGACATGATTAGTGAGATCACCGAATTTCATCCGACAGAACGACCTTTTGGGAACCTGTTCCCACACGTTGGACATTCTTTGAGACAACGCCTAAGCAAGCGTCACAGTTAACCTGGTCTGAAGCAGACTTGTTCACTCGTGTAAGTTACCATGGTAACTCAGCAGGAATTAATTTAAGACACGTTGATGGAATGGAACTCCAACTTCAGTGAGCCAGACTTGTCGAAATAAGTCAGACTTTCCCTTAATCCTGCTTCATGGAACACCCCCCAGGATAAATGGTTGGAAGATGAGTAATGTTGTTGTTGTTGTTGGTGGTGGCGATGATGATATCAGTGGTAGTGATGACAGTTAGAACTTTGTTGACTGCGGCAGGTATGAATGACAAACTACTGGCTAGCAGCTGCCTAGAGGAGCCAGGGTTAGTCTGCGCACTGATTGCTTCCAGATGGCCACTGTGGCAGCTTGTAGTAGCTGGACCGTGGAGAGGGAGGGAGGGAGAAGGAGAGCGATAGAGGGAGGGACGGAGAGAGAGAAGGAGCTGGAGTGCAGGGGGAAGCAGAAGCGGTACATATAATGTATCTGTAAGCATCTGATGTAGGGGTGGCATTCCTCTGTGGTTCAGGGTCCCCATCTTCTCCGTGGGCTTGGGGAAGGGTGAGGTCCCAAACGCAGGAGAGGAGAAGCATCAGGCTCCCTCTACCAGAAGCACCATGATGAGCTGGAAGGTGGTGATCGTGGCTCTCGTCTACTGGAATGTACACATGTGTGGAACTCAGCGCCGGACCCGAGGTAAGGACCTCTGCACCTGCCCATGGTTCATCATGGTATTTGGTTGCACCTGCATGTGCTTCATACTGGCTTCATTGCAGCTTGGTGGCTGGACTTTCCTTGAACCCACTGCTCAGCATTGACTTGACATGACATATTTGCGAAATACACAATATGGGCACGTCGACAGATACTTAGGAATGAACAGACCAGTGAAGGTCATCCTAACTGTAATAGGGTCTAGATCAGGGGTCACCAACCTTTTTGAAACTGAGAGCTACTTCACAGGTACCGAGCCATACGAAGGGCTACCAGTTTGATATACTCTTCTTAAATAACAAATTTGCTCAGTTTACCTTTAGCTAATGATACTCATCTATGTGAAGACACTGATCACATTTATGATTTTATCAATAAAATTATAAAATTAAATTTTAGACGCTGCTCACTGGTCCGCGGGTGACTGATGTGGTCCTTGGGGGCATCCTGGTACCCGCGGGCACCATGTTGGTGACCCCTGGTCTAGATCCTTTTAGAGGTTCTTTAAAATCATAATGACCTACAGTTCCAACACACCCAATGTTGAGATATCAGTAACAGAATTTGTGTCAGCATTTTCCAATTTCCCTATGACCATGTACTGGGATACACATTTAGAGGATGGATGGATGGATGGATAATCAGTGAGCTACAGTCAAAATTTGAAGTGGTCAAACCTTTGTATATATTCATATCGTATGTAATTAAGACCATTTGTTTGAAATCCATGTCGCATTTGACAGCAGAACACGCAATGAGGGCAAACATACATTTTTATTTGCAATCTTTGGAGTTTACTAATCAAGCCTAAGTAAATGTTATAAAATGATCAACAATCATAATGCAGATATTATTTAACAAATAATAGCTGCGTAACTTGTGGGTGTGAGTAGAGCAGTGGGAAAGGAGGAAGGGGGGGCTTTTAATTTCCCGTCAGTATCATTTCAAGCTTCCCATGTTTTCTTGAAAACAGGGCTGCCTGGATTCTCAGGAATTTCCTCTAATAGACAGAATCATGTTTCTGTTTAGTTCCCAGTTCACCCCCCACTCCATAAATTTTTACTGCCAGCTTTGAAGCTATGACTCAAACAGGACTCAGACAGGAGACACATTTGACTGCTGATTTCAGCCATCATTCTGTACACCTGCAACCAGGCCCACCTGAGCAAAATCAGATCTCAGATCAGCATGGTTTGACAGAACCAAAAAAATGGGTTTTATTCTGAGGAACGATACATGGAAATTTGTTTACTTTAACTATTACATAAATGTAAATATTTAAAACTAGTCTGTTTTTCAGCTTATTTCAGGCTTTCTACTCCTCTTTGCCTCTGCTCGCCCACATTTCAGGATCCTCAAGCTTCTATTGTCATGATCTTCTGCTTCGTCCCCTCAGCTCTTTGTATCTGCATGGCCATGGTCATCTAGTCGTTTGATTTCCTGGATCGTTGGCTCCTGCAGAAGATCCCAGTCCCTCTGGCTGTCCTCCTCTCGCTCTTTCCTGCTGTTTTTCTCCGGATCTTCTGGAACATTCTCTGGAACATTCTTCTCAGATTAGCATTAAAGCTGAAATTGTTTTTTTCCGCCACAAAGTAGCAGGGGTGTGTACAACACCATTAACCTGAGAGGATCTCCCTACACAATGTAAACACCCAAATGTGAAGCCACCTTCTTTTATCTGTTTGAGATACATCACACTTTGGATTTTAAAATTATTTTCAATATAATATAAAAGGGACCAGAATAGACAGTTGAAATCAATGTCTCATAAACAATCTCAGTAAATCCACAGAATTGAAGGTAAAATGTTACTTTACAGCTATCATTGGCTGTACACACGTGACTAGCAAGGCATATCTAACTGGCTTGTATCAAAACATTTATGCAAAAAATATACATATGAGTACAGTGTTTTTGTATCCCTATCAGAATTATTTGTTAAAGTGTTAGAGCTTCTGTCTTCTGCACTAATTTGATGTCTTTGAGTTGTGTTTAACTCAATCAATAGTTATTGCTAAAAATAACCACAGGTGTCTGGCAGTGGACCTTATACTTTGCTATCTGTGGCTGTGTCATTCAGAACTGGGACTCCTTGTAGTATCTATTGGTTCATCGGACCCAGCTGCTTGTTTATGCCGGAATAAGCCAAACATTCCTGGCTGTGCTGATTCCACCGCAGACCGGCTCGGAGTGAGAGCCTTTCCTCTGCATCCTGATCTCTACCTCATATGGCTCGTAGCTACGGGGCTGTGGAAGGCAGGAGCACCACGTTTGGGCGAAACGTTGTTTTTACAGCAAGCTAACATGCTCCTGCGGCTACACCTGGATCCAGGAGACGAATGTATAGCCCCAGAGTGAAAAGCTACGCTGTGCGTAGCTGCGGCGTATGGTTCTGCTTTACGCTCATCAAAATAATGTGGTGTCCCGCGACGTTCCAGCTGAATCGGCTTCCTTCGCATCGACGGCACCCTTGTCTGCTCTCCATGTGTCGGTTTTTCAAATCCCGTGGCCTCTGGACCCCCCTATTCCTTTGAAGCCTGATGTTATGCCCCATTGATCTCAGACATTCCCTTGGTCATTGTTAGGGGCTTTCAAAGAGAATCCGAGATACTGCTCAGCCCTGTTGTCTGGCACTCGTGGTGCTGGTAACAGTAGCAATAAAGCCCAGCCTGATGATCGTTAGATCAGGTTCATTCATCACACCTGCAAAGATGTATCTTGGGTGTCTATCATTCATCTCTGTGGTGCCATTCTTAATGCTCAACTCACTGAAGTTACACTCATGGTCTTTAAGGCAATGCAGATACTTAGTAGTAACTCAGTTACTACTGAAGTACAAATCATGAACAAATCATGAACAAATGTAATCGCTACATGATGAAAAATGTGTCGATTCATTAATAATGAACAAACATGAGATCAGTATTTCCCTTGTTATTTATTACTTGTTGCTTCAGTATTACACTAAGATTTACAGATATAGTGACAAATGTAGGAACTGATTAGGATAAATGATGCTTCACAATTCATTAATGATGAGATCAGTTTGTAACTAACAATTTGTGGTTAATTAATACATACATGCATAATATGATATAATTTTATGTTCCCTTAAGTGTCTTAATGGTCTTTCTCTGTCTTAGCTCTGTACCCCTCTGCATTGAGAGTGAAGAGAGGCACTGCATCCATGCTTAACCCCGTCTTCCAGAATTCCCTAGAAGATATCAACCTACTCTTTGAAGTGAGAGAACCCAAAGAAGATATCCATGAAGTGTCTGAAAAATGCTGCTTAGGTTACATACTGTCACTGTACGATTGCAGTTGGAATACACAAACCCTCCTTAACTCTTATTGGCATCCTTGTGAGTTGTTTTTTTTGTGCACTCAATGTTGTGCAAGACACTTCTGGATCTACCTATGAAGAAAATATTCACAATAAAAGAGAGCAAAAACAGCCGTCCTGATATGCAGATTGCAACGCTTCTGCTGGGACAGGCTGTCAGCCTAAAGATATTAAAAGAAACTTGAGTTTCAAGAAAAACAAAAATTATACTGGGGGTCATAAACAGTAATAAACCACAGATAAATTATCATATGTATTCTAATATAAGTGCCATTTACAATTTGGTATAAAACGGTGCCTGATATTCAGGAATGCAGAATGAAATTCAGGTAGGGTGTTAGTTAATTATCAAACCAATTTAGCTGTTTGTCTTTTTGTACAAATGCTTGTGTGACCCCGCTTGATAAACACTCATAAAGACTATCTACACAGTTATTCATGTTTATTGACTGTTTACTTATTCCCACCCCCACTTCAGATCCTGATAGCGGGAGTGAAAATGGAAGATGAACGCAGCCCATTGACCGTACTGGATGAAGAACTGGCATCTCTGCGCCGCACCCAGAAGCTGGAGGCCATCTGCGAGGACGTCGTGCCCCGGAAGCTGACAGACATCCGACGGCTGACCTCCGACCTGCTCCAGTACCCGACTGTCCTGCGCAAGGAGGACTTTGAGCGCACTGTGTTGACAATGGTGTATGCCGCTCACAGGATGGGCAACACTGATGGCCACCAGAGGGCGGCCTGGACAGAGTCCTTCATAAACCTGTACAAGGCCATCAAGCAGGACCTGATAACTGCATGAGGCTGGACTGCGTCCAAACATCCAAATCTGTATTGCTCTCAGATTATGTATAATTGAGTATATTTTCTAAAGTAAAGTTATGAGAACTGCTGAGGGATGACATTAAAATGTGAAATTCTTAATTTTTTTTCTCAAGGATCCAAGGAACAAAATTCCATTGTGGCATCGTCTTTAGTGTAAAATACAACTTACTTCATACGAAATTGTCCAGGTTTTGTCAAATATAAGATACTTATATGTATTGTATATATTTTGAATCATGTTAGTTGATTTCAGTATACTGTAATTGAGTACTGATTTACACTATTTGACATATTCTTTCCTTATTTTTGTATTATAAGTAAATGTGACAGTTTTTCAATACGTAAGTTGTCTTAATTTTGTACAGGACTATCAACTCTCTTCAGCTAATTGAATATACAATAGTTTCAACCTCCATTACACGTGCAGTTACGCGATGCAAGGCCGTTAGACTCACTATCTCAGCTTTGAGAAGGAGACTCACAGACCGTTTGTCTTTCCGTCACGCTTGGACGTTAAACAGGCAGAGGCTAGTCAAACGGGGCAGGAATTCAGTTCAAATAACCTACACAGATATGATCATGTTAAAAATGCATATAACCATATCTGAGATAGATTACCCTCTATATATAAACCTGCGATGGACTGACATCCTTTGAATAAACTCCACAAGTAGTATTTCACAAGTAGCTTCACAAGTAGTATTGTTGCTATTTCCCTAGAGGGAAAAAATGGTCAGAAAACCAATATAAACCTATTAGAGACATAAAACATTAGTACTCAGGAAACCCCTTCAATCTCGCCAATAACTTGTTCAGAATAATTTTAATGATTGGCGTATTTTTGAAGTGACAACTTAGCGTGACCTAAAAATAGATAATTTGACCAAATACATAATAAATCAATAGCAGCTATAATTCATATGAATAGATACATAAATAAACACACAGATGCTATTAAAAAGGAAACAGAATATTCCATTGCCTTGTGTTTAACAAACAGGTCCGTCGGTGGGTGTCTTGATACCGGAAAAGGAGGGAGAATCCCAGCTGGGCTTTATTGTCTTACGACCCGCACAGAGGCGCACAGAGCAGGAGTCAGCATCCCTTCGGGTTCACATTGCAAAACACGGACAAAAAGCACTTCTATTGGGGGAAAAGTCACGGGGGCACTGCCCCTAGCTGAAAGCCGATTGGACACTGGAGTGCCCCCCTCTCCAGTTGCTCACAGATTCAAGTTATACCATTAGCAAATGATTAGGTTGCCCCCCGCCCCCCATCCTTCCACACCGTAAAAAATCCTTAAATTGCCTTGGACTTATAGGTTTGTGGACTTATGTTTAACTCACATCAAGAAGACTTTACGAAAGACCGTACATCACGCAAGCCTGTTTATCCTCTTGGCATTCATAAGGCCACTCCCACAATGACATGTGATGCATCAGGCTTCTCCGCCTCCTTGCTGTCCACAGTGCCGATGTCCGACTGGGCCACGGGAGTGACGGGACTGGTGGGGGGGCAAAAAGGCATGCGCTGCACCCAGGGAGAGGAGGCTAAAAAGCTAAGGCTGAAAGGAAGACCGTACACCTCCCCGCTGTCCAGGGTAACACCCGAGTCCTCCTCGTGACTGCTCTTCCACGCCACAATGCCTCGTTCCACCACAGATCCTGTAGGCACCCAAAGTAATTCAGGAGAACAGACTACCCTTGACTACCCTTACTGTACATCAAGTTAGTTACAAATTAGGGCAGGAAAATTTATCACATTTACCAAAAGCATTAATTTTAAAGACATTTATTATTTTTTCTTTGATCGCATTAATGCAAGTGGCATTTCATTACGCAAATGGGAGAATAATATGAACGTAGATTTTATTAGTAACCTGTAATAGTTCTTCCCAGTTGTAAACAAAGTGAGAGCTGGTATCATTATGTTGCACAGAATCTCAGAATTCAGAACTAATATCAAAACACTCAGTCAGAATCTTGTTCAGTTAAAATTTAATGTGTTATGGTAAACTTGTGACTGACCAATGTACTCCCCTTTGTGTTAATTCTACATTAATTTGAGGATTCAGCATCTAAATATTTATGAGTATGGGTTTTACTATTAAGTGAGAATAATTGCAGTTTATCATAGAAAACAGTATGATTAATTAGTTACATTTTTTTAATCGATTCCCAGCCCTGAATTGGGACCACAGAGGAGGGGGAAGACATTTAACCCCAACATAAGTCTTTATATTTATCTTTATAGATCAATTTACCAGCACAAATTCTTCCAAACTAAGAACTGACTTACCTGGAATGGTGTTGTCAAGAATGAACCCAAAGAATCCTCCTACAAACATTCCAGTCGTCAGGAGAACATTAACCACCTGGTCAACCTCAACAATTCCTATGGATCGAAGTAAAAATTACTGCAGTACTGTAAAGTGATCTCTATAGGACGCAGAAATCTTGCAGGAACATGAGACATATTGGTGACACAGTAGGGTCTGCAAGGTCTGCTCCTGCAGCATGACTGAGGTCATTTCAATCTCCTATCTTTTACCCATCTCATTATTTTGTAATTGTGGCTGTAATTGAATGACTAACTCCGAACTGAGCTTGTCTTGCTGTGGCAGATGGCCGTACCTGTTGCTATAGCTGCAGGATTCTTCAATGCCCAGTTGGGAATGGCCAACCCAGTTAACATGGAAAATCCAAAGATGAAAATGTTCCTGGAGGAGTTCATATCTGTGTACTGGACAGATAGCATAAGGTCAAAAGGGGGAAATCATCCTTCCTCAAATAACATCACCGCATGCTGTAGATCACTGTTTCCCAATCAGGTCCTTAGGGACCCCCAGAAAAAACACCTGGACTGATTGGGGTTCCACGCAGACTGGAACACTGCTGCAGGTAATACTCACACAGCTCTAGCTCAAATATCATTTGGCTTTGAGCTCCTTTTCCATCTTGCTGATTACTTGAAAATACCTGCAGGTTGGATACTCCAGCAGCTGATATAACCCCAAACATGACTAAGAGCATGCCGCCGACCACGGGAGTTGGTATGGTGGTGAAGATGGCGCCTATCTTGCCAAACAGCCCCACGAGAATCATCAAGATCCCACTGGCCAAGATCACTGTGCGACTTCCTACCTGGGGGGTCATATACAGAATTCATTCACATTGCATCCCATTTAAGGTCCCTGAATCCTTATTTGTTGACTTGTTAATCTCATAATGCTTCAGTAAATGCTCCTTTGACTCCCCTCAACCAACTATGTCCTTTATGAAGAAAGCCTTTATGACCTGTAGAACCTTAAATCATTTGAGCCATGCATTCCTATAATTTTAAAATGGTAAGAACCAGCAGAAGGAACAACAACAGCCCAAGGCTGGAGTACAATGACTTGTGGTACTCAGAAATTCTATCACCCTCTTACCCTGGTGATGCCCAGCACTCCCACGTTCTCGCTATAGGAGGTGGTACCGTTGCCTGTGCCCCAGGCCCCGGCCAGCAGACAGCCCACCCCCTCTATGCCCACCCCTCGGTTGATGGCGTGCCTGGGAGGAGGAGGGGCTCCAGAGAGCTTGGCACAAGCATGGTAGTCACCTACGGACTCTACCATAGAGGATATCACTCCAGCCAAGATCCCGCACACCCCTGCCAAACTCACAGTTGGTACACCCCATTGACCTATGAGTGAAACAAGAATAGTAAAATCATTGCCTTTACCTTTCATCTTGTAAAAAAAATTTAAGCTTTATTATCTTTTGATAATGTATTTATTTAGATTACATAACGATTAATAATATTCTAGAAATACTTGGGAATTCAACTTTCGTGCCTGGGTATGGGAACCTGAACCAGGGGGTCTGGTTCACGACATCCCCCTTAACATCAGTACGAGCCAGGAAGCCATATTTTTTTGGGTCTGGTGGCAGGACGTCATATATGGTCAGGAGGTGGCAGAAAAGCCAAGAGATGGTGACACCAAGGAGCACCTGCCGCACAGAAATACACTGTCCTGTCCTGTACTGTCTTTAACAATCCAGCAAATTACCAAAACTAGCACACAGGTGACGATAAGCAGTCTTACTTTGCTGAATCTTTTATCTCAAGCAATTACATATTTTATACTATATCTCTTAATTCTGTAAACCTCTATGAACTACTGAAGGAACTACTGAAGGAACAAGTAATGAATAACACAAGTGACATAATGATTGCATACCTTCTCAACTACAGACTATATTTGTTCATGATTTGTACTTCGGTAGTAACTGAGGTACTGTTAAGAATTTGTGCCCCTCAAGTAAAGTGTTACCTAAAGAAGATTAAAGCATACATTACTTTCCAGGCCTTCTTAACTTATGTATCAAAACATTTTTACACATTTCTAACTCTTACCCATCCCATTAATGTTCTTATCACCATAAATTTTAATGTCGTCCCCTAACTTCATATCTATTCAGTCTTGAATAGATATTGATTTTTAAGGCATACATCTTGTGCTCTTTGATGTGCATGTCTCCCCCTCAACTTACAGGAATAACCTGAAACAGGCACATCCGCGAGGTGTGGAACTTCCTGGCCTTGCTGTAGGCAGGAATGGGAATGCTGACGTGTCGAAGGTACTGGGAGAACAGGATGATCAAGGCTGCTGTCCTGTACGATTAGATAAATAGGCACCATGAAATACAATATGAGTGCTTAATATTACGCTTAGGTACATGTTATAGAGACTGAGCAACAGAGGAAGAGGTAGAGAACAGGAGTGTGGATGGTGGATCCTGGTGGCCACAGAAGATGCACGCACATGGCAGCGATGCCCCAGTGGTGCCCCGCACTCGACCCGGCTGAGTCGAACAGGGACAGCCCGATCAGGGAGATGGTGGGAGCGACAGTAAGAGGTCCGATGAACCTCATGAGGAAGCCAATGAGGCCAGAGAAGCCCACCAGGATCTGGAAGCAGGAAGCCACCAAGATGGAACCCTGCAGCTGAGCATGGAGAAACAAGCAGATGGGGAGGTTGGGCCTGGAGTTACATGGTGATGGGGCTGGAGTTACATGGTGAAGGGTCTGGAGTTACATGGCGGTGGGTCTGCAGTTACACGGTGATGGGCCTGCAGTCGTACAGTGATGGGTGTGGAATTACACAGTGATTGGCATGGAGTTACACAGCAATGAGCCTGGAGTTACACGGTAATGGGCATGGAGTTGCATGCTGATGGGCCTAGAGTGACATGGTGATAGACGTGGTGTTATACAGTGATGAGTCTGGAGTTAAATGGAGATGGGTGTGGAGTCACACAATGAGGAGCGTGGAGTTACATGGTGATGGGCCTGGAGTTACACAATGATGGGCCTGGAGTTATACGGTAATGGGCCTGGAGTTACACAATGATGTCTCATGACCTGCTTGTCCAATCCTCCTGTGTGCCACGCCCTCTGTTACCACATGTGGAGTCTAGTTGTTGTTAATTGATTCTGTGTATTTAATGCTTCCATGTCCGTCTTACCCCTGTCTGGTCATTGACATTTGTTTCTGTGTAATGTTGCTGTGTCTTGGAGTGTTACCCCGTAATAAACCCTGTTTGTTCGTATTCATGGCTCGCTTCGCCTGCTTCCGTGTACCCAATGTAACAGAATGACTGGACCAAGAACGAAGACGCCTCCCCTCAGCGAAGCAGAATACCTTGATTTTTTGGACGAGGTAAATTACTGGCTCGGACAGCCCGAGGTAAAGGAGGACCCCGCAGCGCAGGCCATTGCTTGCTGGTCGAGAGAGATCCTAGAACGGATCTCCCCTTCCGAGGATCCGCACCTCCTCCACATTTGACCCGACTTAGAAGCTGGGTCACTGAGGATATACTCCGGCAGGTGACCATAGACTGTGGCTTCCTTCCTACCTTGCCGTGTGAGCTGCCGGACCTTGCAGCGCCTGCTCGCAGGAAAATTAAATGGAGAAAGAGACGGGAGGATGTGCTGAGCGTTTCCCTAGGGGCCGTCTCAATCTCCACCATTTCCCCTACGGTGTGCCAGGAGGAGCCCAGCCCGGCAGTGTTCGCGCACGACGCCTGTCTGCCTGCTGTCTCCACAGTCCGTCTGCCTGCTGCTGCTTTGCCTGCGCCCGAAGCCCAACTGCCTGTTGCTGCGTTGCCTGCCGCCGAAGCCCACCTGCCTGTTGCTGCGTTGCCTGCGCCTGGAGCCCGCCTGCCTGTTGCTGCATCACCTGCTGCCGAAGCCCACCTGCCTATTGCTGCGTTGCCTGCGCCCAAAGCCTGCCTGCCTGTTGCTGCGTTGCCTGCGCCTGGAGCCCGCATGCCAATTGCTGCATCGCCTGCCGCCGAAGCCCACATGCCTATTGCTGCCTCGCTGTGCCCAAAGCCTGCCTGCTTGTTGCTGCTTCGCCTGCACCCGAAGCCTGCCTGCCTGTTGCTGCTTTGCCTGCGCCCGAAGCCTGCCTGCCTGTTGTGTCTGCTCCGCCCCCAGTGGTTCCTGATCCCGTGGACCCTGCCCCTGCCCTTGTCCCTGAGGAGGTCCCGGACCATCAGACCGAAACTCCTCCTCCATTTCCAGGGGGGGAGGAGCTTGATTGGGACCCCTTGAAGATATCCCTGGTGACTGCCCCGGTGAGCCCCTCTGGTGGGTTGCCCCGACCATTACCCCAGCGTGGCAGATCCCGACCTGAACCTCGAATCTCTGTGTCCAGAAGGGGGAGAGGACACTTATGTAGGGGTCGGGTCCCGCCCGTCCTGCCCCCTGGCTTGCCTGTGGTCCCCCTGGCTCCAGCTCGGCGGTCGCCTGCAGTGCCTCCTGCAGCGTCTCGTCAGCCGCCTTCGGTCCTGCCTCCTGCGGCATCTCAGTGGCCACCTGTGGTGCCCCTTGCTTCGGCTCGACGGTTGCCTGCGGTGCACCCTGCTCTGACTCGTAGGTCGCCAGTGCCTTCGTCTGCCGTGGCTTTTGCTCCCTTCTCACCTTCTCCAGTGTCCCCTTCTGCTCCCTTCTCACCTCCTCTGGTGTCCCCTTTGCCTCCCTTCTCGTCTCCTCCATCTGTCCCTCCATCTTCTTCCGCGCCCCCTTCGTCGTCCCCTCCAGTTCCTGCCTCGCGGTCGCCTAGGCTCCCTCCTGCTCCGGCCTCATGGTTGCCTGCTGCCCCTGCGGCTCCCGCTTTCTGCCAGCCGGGGTTCCCTCCGGCTCCCTGCTTCTCGCCACCTTTTGCTTCCCTGCCTCCTGTGTTTGCTCTGCCCTTGTTCCCTCCTGGTCCCTTTGCTCCTCCTGTTGTCCCTCCGTTGTCCTCCTCATTAGGTTCTCTGTTGCTGTTTTTGGTGCCCCTGTGTCTTTCTGCGTTCCCTCTGGATTGCTTGTCTTAGTTGTTGTCTTGGTCCCTGTTCTGAGTGTCCGTACTGTTTCCTGTGGTCCGTTGATGTTTTTGGTTTTGTTTCCCTAGGTCCTGTCCTGTGCTGTCCCTGTTTCTGTTCCCTCCAGTTCCTTAAGGTGCGCCCGGTGTGTGCACCTTTGCAGGGGGGGTTCTGTCATGACCTGCTTGTCCGATCCTCCTGTGTGCCAAGCCCCCTTGTTACCACATGTGGAATCCCGGTGTTTTCAGCTGTGTCTAGTTGTTGTTAATTGATTCTGTGTATTTAGTGCTTCTGTGTCTGTCTTACCCCTGTCCGGTCATTGATGTTTGTTTCTGCGTAATGTTGCTGTGTCTTGGAGTGTTACCCTGTAATAAACCCTGTTTGTTCGCATTCACAGCTCACTTCACCTGTTTCCCTGTACCCGACGTAACAGGATGGGCCGGGAGTTACACAATGATGGGCCTGGAATTACACGGTGAGGGGCCAGGAGTTACATGGTAATGAGCCTGGAGTTACACTGTGATGGACCTGAAGCTAAGGCAAGAGTGTGGGTACAGTGGTGAATTTCACCTGCTGCTGTTGTAAATGTTCAAGTTGGGTGCAACTTCTACCTGACTTGGGTTCCTGTTTATAGATGTCACTGAACTCTAAAGCAGGTTTAGGGGGAGACACACCATTATGTTAGTGTAGCTGTCCCTGCTGTGCACAGGGTGATGTTGAAATGTGTGCTGCAATCAGGTTTAATGGGCAACTTCCATCACCATTCCACAACTGAACAGCAAATTTCCAAAATTCATTCAATCAAAGGGATATGTGATCAGGATTAGTTTGTAAGTACAGTAAGTACCGTTTCTGTGGACATGGTGACTTTCGGAATTTTAATGAAAGCTCTTGGATTACACAATGACTGAGTAAGTTTTGGTTCCCGATGCTGTAATATATGATGAGCAAGTCTGACTTTAGGTCTTTGGTGGTCTCATCTCAAACAACAATAAAATGACTGAGTGAGTTTAGGAAATCTGCATTTCAATCAGCCAATAAAACACTGTGCATATTCCTTCTGTCTTGGATGCTCTGCTTGGAATTCTCAAGTGAAAGTAAGGGTGACAATACACAGGACAACTTTTTGAGCAATCTTGCCAGGCGGTCTTGCTGATCAGTGTTGTTCTGGCACTTTCCCATTGATAATGGACAACAAATTTCAGTTTGAAATACTTAAATTAGCAATGGGCAACTTTTTTGCAAACATCCAGATCCAGATGAGTTGCCCTCATCCGGTTGGCAATGGCTCTGCAACATTGCTCAAAAAGTTACCCTGTGTATCATCACCTTAAGGGAGAGATCCACAGAAACAGGTAGCCTGTGCAACATTCTGGGATACTTTCAGTTTTTGTCATTGAAATCCCTTCCAGAAACATTCAGGCCTTTCCATAATATTCCCCTCTTCTCAACCTCAATCAGCAAATGCTTCTCCTCTTGGAGACTTAGGGCCTATGGCTTTGATTGCTCACAATGAGAGACCCAATGTCCTCATGCCACAAAGAAGGCCTGTGCATGAGCTCAGAGACAGTGTCACTCAGAGTCACCTGACCGTGAGGTATTCACCGTGCTGGCATTTTCCGGTATCACTTAATCAGGGAGACGCCTGTGATTGAGACAAAACTTTATGCAAAAATTAAAAGAGAGATCATCATAAGATGTATGGAGGGCATGGATGTTTTGGGGGAGGGGCAAAGTTGCAGGACAAACCCCTGTAATTAGTTGAAATTATATAGAAATGGGGCAAAGTGAGAGAGCCAGGGAGTCATGGTCCTGCTTTTGGGGGGTCATGGGTTGTTTCTTCAGTTACTTTGTACATCTGCTCAGTTCTCCCAGCCATTGTATCCCGTGGCCGTCAATGAAATGACACTGTTCTATCCTCCAATCATGGCATCCCATGGACATTGTAGGAGCTTTAATATATTTGTGATTGATAATTTAAGTTACATATTGATTTGAGTTTATGGATTGAAGGTATAATAGGTCTTATGTTGCTGATGGAAATTATTGTGTAATTATTCTTTCCAGTGATATATCAGATGAATGTTTGTGCCTTTAAGGGCGTCATAGCGTGAGAGAGGAGGTCATTAATAAGTAATTAAGTAATTAGCCTGTGGAGGATGGAGCCACATGGTCTTTTGACCTCTTTCTCTCTCTCACTTTATTTTTGAAGTACCTCAAAACCCTTTATTACATGGAAAACTTCATCTATACTGCCGTATTATTTAATTCGGTAAATCGTTCTAAGTTACGCGAATGATCTCATGTATTTTCCCCCCTTTAATTTTGCAGATCGGATGAGAGACAGTAAAAGCATCAACCTAAGGCTCTGTTTTCGAGACTGGAACCTACAGGCACGATGGCCAGACGTGGACTTTTTCTGCTACTTCTGTGCTGTAATGCTGCCTTTTTGGTTTAAGCTGAGCCAATTATATTTGAAAAAGCCCGTGAACCTCTGTAATCTGTGGTAACCACCGAGGGGATTATATCTCACACGCAGTCAGGGAGAGGGAGCAGAGAATGAAGGAGAACATAACAAGTGTATATGACAAGTTCATGCAAATATCTTATTTTGTGGACTCAGCGGTTATGAACAGGCTAAAAATAAGCGAGACTTTACAGTTGGTCTGTGTGTGTGTGTGTGTGTGCGTGTGTGTGTGTGTGTGTGTGGCGTGTGTGTGTGTGTGTGTGTGGGGATTAGGTTTATATTACTTTGTGGGGACCAAATGTCCCGCCCTAATGTGATAAAATCCTGTTTTTTGACGTTGTGGGAACCATTTTTGGGTCCCCACAGAGATCTGTGAATGCAATGAAAAAAGTAAAAATGCCAAATGTTTTGTTTGGTTACTTATGGTTAAGGTTAGGGCTGGGTAGGGGTAAAGGTTGTCATGTTGTGATTACAGTTTTCTCCATAGAAATGAATGGAGAGTCCCTACAAAGATATAATTACAAACCAGAGTGTGTGTGTATGTGTGTGTGTGTGTGTGTGTGTGTGTGCGTGTGGTTTTGTGAAATGCACTGAGTCATTTGAAAGACATTGTTTTAAAATAAAATGTGCAAGCTACCAAGAAAAACTGCAACCGTTTCAAGAAAGCAATTCCTGTTTAGGGAAATACTGCCCAAGCAATGAGAAAATGAATTTTAGTTTTCATACCACAGAGAACAGTCATCACCTCCCTACATCTGTGTGAAACAAAATTCTTTCATACTTTCACACTCTTTTTCATACTTCCATACACATAGTTTAAATTTACAGTGAGATTCATTTCATCGTCTGGGCCTTTGGTGCGTTTTTGCTTCTAATGACTCAAAGTGCCTGGATGTTTCCGGAACTGACCTCCCTCAGGCGGCTCTGCCACTCCTCCATGAACACTGGTGAGGAGATGTTCACCAAGGAGGCGTTCTGAGTCCAGGCTGGGCAGGTCCACTTCGGGGTGGACAGTAGTGCCAGGGATGGCGCCAGAAATGTGAAGGTGCCACCCTGGAGGATGGGAAGTCTGCGAGGGGAGAAAATTAATCACGGGTGAAAATATTTTTCACACTGAGGATAATCACTCAACAACCTGTCACTCACTCAGTTTACTCAGCCCCATTTCTGTCTGCAGCTAGAGGTGGCCGTGTTTCTCCCTATGGCTAGAGGCGGCCATGTTTCTCCCTATGGCTAGAGGCGACCGTGTTTCTCCCTATGGCTAGAGCCGGCCGTGTTTCTCCCTATGGCTAGAGGCGGCCGTGTTTCTCCGTATGGCTAGAGGCAGTCGTGTTTCTGCCTGTGGCTAGAGGCGGTCGTGTTTCTGCCTGTGGCTAGAGGCAGTCGTGTTTCTGCCTGTGGCTAGAGGCGGCCGTGTTTCTGCCTGTGGCTAGAGGCGGCCGTGTTTCTCCCTGTGGCTAGAGGTGGCCGTGTTTCTCCCTATGGCTATCATCAGGCAATCATGTTTCTGCCTGTGGCTAGAGGCGGTCGTGTTTCTGCCTGTGGCTAGAGGCAGTCATGTTTCTGCCTGTGGCTAGAGGCGGTCGTGTTTCTGCCTGTGGCTAGAGGCGGCCGTGTTTCTGCCTGTGGCTAGAGGCGGCCGTGTTTCTCCCTGTGGCTAGAGACGGCCGTGTTTCTGCCTGTGGCTAGAGGCGGCCGTGTTTCTGCCTGTGGCTAGAGCCAGGCGTGTTTCTGCCTATGGCTAGAGGCGGCCATGTTTCTGCCTGTGGCTAGAGGCGGCTGTGTTTCTGCCTGTGGCTAGAGGCGGCCGTGTTTCTGCCTGTGGCTAGAGGCAGCCATGTTTCTGCCTATGGCTAGAGCCGTTCCTGTTTCTGCCTATGGCTAGAGGCGGCCATGATTCTGCCTATGGCTAGAGCCATTCCTGTTTCTGCCTGTGGCTAGAGGCGGCCGTGTTTCTGCCTGTGGCTAGAGCTGGGCATGTTTCTGCCTGTGGCTAGAGCCGGGCGTGTTTCTGCCTGTGGCTAGAGCTGTTCCTGTTTCTGCCTATGGCTAGAGGCAGCCATGTTTCTGCCTGCAGCCTGAGCCAGCCATGTTTCTGCCTATAGATAGAACTGGCCCTGATTTTGCCTGGATCTGGCCCTGCCTGTGATGGACTGCCATCCTGTCCAGGGTGTACCCTAGCCTTGTGTGCAATGCTGCCTGGGATAGCGCCCAGCCCCCCAGTGACTCTGACTAGGGTATGCATGAATGAATGCATGTATTATTGTGCTTATTAATATAAACCTTGGTTAATCCTTAACTAAATGGGGAAGGTCCAGACCTTTGTCACTTACTGGACTTACTAAATGAGTGATATAAGGGATGAAAGAACACAGCAATAAAGCTTTGCCCCACCCCCACCCATTCCCATATCACACGGTTCTGCTCGCAAATATAAAAGGAGGAATAGCAAGGCTAGTGACCTTGACCATGTCATACGTCAGCAGCTGAGACGCCGGGGCCTCACCTGACCCCGACGGTGACCTGCAACAAGGTGCACAGTCCTGAGACAAAAAAGATGGTGCTGATGAGGTGGCTCTGGGTGACACCGTCATGCTGTAGGCACAGGCTTTGCGAGAGGATGAGTGGGATGGCCACGATGCTACCAAAGGCGGTCAGGAAGTGCTAGGGGGGGTACAATAAATCCTTTAAAACTGCTACTCTCCAACCATGGACTGGACATCGTAACACTACAATGAATGCTAAAGATCAGTACTATCAGTATCACAATTCCCTGATGTCATTGTTACTACAATAAATGCTTAAGAGTAGTACTGTCAGTATCATGATTCCGGGCTGTGATTGTTAGTACTCCTCTTTAGCATTCATTGTAGTAACAGTGATATCATGGTATCACAATACTGACAGTACTCCTCTTTAGCATTCATTGTAGTGTCAGTATCACAAGTCCTTGTTACTACAATAAATGCTAAAGAGGAGTACTGTCAGTATCACAATTCCCTGATGTCATTGTTACTACAATAAATGCTAAAGAGGAGTACTGTCAGTATCACGATACCCTGATGTCATTGTTACTACAATAAATGCTAAAGAGGAGTACTGTCAGTATCACGATACCCTGATGTCATTGTTACTACAATAAATGCTGTAGAGCAATATAAGAAAGGGGTAACGGTAGGTTACTGGGATACTCCTGCCAAGCTGGGAACTGCATAATGGGACACACTTAAGAAATGGCCCTACTTGAATCCCCAGGATGATGCACAGGTACCAGGGTGGGACATCAGTGACACAATAAGCCAGTTTGTTCCTGTTCTTTTCTGCAGACTGGCTCCCATTCTTGGCACCTTCCTCAACAGGAAAATCAAAGATATTCTCCTCTCCCTCAATCTGTAGGAAAGATATAAAAAGTCCGAATTACAAATGCTACATAAAATAACACATGGATGGATGGATGGAAAAAAGCAAGTCTTTATTGGTCTAACAGTCATATGCATATTTAAGTTGTAATTTCACTGCACATTTAAGCTAATAACACTGCATATCTGTGCCATTTGTTATACATCTATGCTTACGTTTTTATTTTGTATCGGGTATTATTACAAGCAAGTATTGTACAAAGTACTTTGTTTTTCGATAATTATTCCAATCAAAAATGAAAAAAAGACAATGAATTAGAACCCCTGGGCAAAATTGTCTACAGGAAGTACAAAAAAGCAATTGTGTATAGTTTTTATGATGGAAGACAGAAAATGGGAGCAAGCAATAATCAGCCGACACAGACAAGTGTGTCAGCAAGTTGGATCATGCAAGATGCTTTCCAGGCACTACTGTCAGCTCTTTGTCTGGCCCAGATGATTATCTGCCATCTCAGGGTCGGGCTTTGTGTTGATCAATAGCCATTGCAGAGCTATCCAGGTTAAACATTAGCAGAGATATCCAGGTCTTTCTATTAAAATAGAACAATGAAGGAATAACACAACCGTGACAGAGACCTGAGTCTGTCAACACAAGCAGAAGACATGAAAGAGCTTCTGAGGAACATTGTATACAATGTTAGAGTGACATTGGGCATTTGCGGGTAGATTCTTCCAGCAACAGGAACCCTGCAAGGGAAGGTTCTACTGCTATTTGCATTTAATAAAACATGGTACCCTGCATCTTCTCACTCAAGTAATCAGGGTGGAATGCAAGGGAAAAATACACACTGCACATTGCTACAAATCTATTTAGGGAAATTTACATCATGCAAATAATATCCCCAAGGCACAGCATATATACAGGAAGTAGTTTGCTGGATCCAAATCAGATCCCCGGGGAAGATACCAGCATATTTTTACAATTCATCATTTATTCTTAACAATCAGGGAGCCTTCTGACAGATATAAGCCCCCAACATTTAAAGCACCTGTCCACTGAGACTAACCAAAGATGATGGTGATGTGTGTGACTCCAGAACATATCCCACGAAAACTGTTGTTTTGTCCAACATGTTTCTTAGTGAAAAGGGGATGCTAATCCTTTGCCTAGGACCTAGTATATGTTTGCCAATGCCAGGTTAGAGCTAACATATTAGTTCTGTTAGATTACCTATTAACTCTCCTGTCTAAATGGTTATGAGCAGAAGTTTTGCCAACAAGCCTAGGCTGTCCAACACTGTTATTTATTAGCAGTTATTAATTCCTTTTGTCCACCACCTTCAAATTCAATTCAATTCAATTCAATTTTATTTATATAGCGCATTATCACAACATTACATTGTCTCAATGCGCTTTACATTTCTGCCTCGTAAGGACCCCCCAGTGAGTAAGCCAAAGGCAACGGTGGCAAGGAAAAACTCCCTAAGAGGAAGAAACCTTGGGAGGAACCAGACCCAAAGGGGGAGCCCATCCTCCAGGGGCCGGCAGATGAGTCAAACAAACAAGATGATATGACTAAGCTAATACAGACAAGATGAAATGACTAAGCTAATACAGGGGTTGAAATATATGTCTCAATGCAGCGGCCGACCGGTGCAGGCACGTGGTGCTTGATGCACGATGGCAGGATTAATAGACACACAGCCGCAGGATGGATGGCGAGGCATCGTGTTGAGCCAAGGGCAGGCAGGTTGGAGGGTAGTTGCCGGAGGTGGAGGTAGTTGTCTTGCAGGCCGCAGAGGCATAAACTCTTCAACGACATTGTGCTCCAGGGAGCACACCCCAGAAGGGGTGAGGGAGGAAGTAAGAATAATTGTGTATTAGCCAGAGTTGAGGAAATCAGAGGCAGTGCAAGCAAAATGATCGAGTGCAATATTCGTCTAGGCTCCGGCAGATCTGAGTATAGCAGCATGAGAAAGAGGGAGAGACAGGCGGGAACACAGGCATGGGGACTCCCTGAACATCAGCACTCTAGTGTAGAGCTAGAGTGACAGCACTGACGCCTCAGTTTATCCAAAGCCAATGACACCGATCCCCACCCAGCTCATCACCTCATACTGTTAGTCTGACTGGGAGTGAGCGACTAGCTGGAACCAGAACTAGGTTTCCTATACGCTAAGCTATACAAGTGCGTTTTTAATCTAGACTTGAAAAGCGAGAGTGTGCCTGAATCCCGCACATCCGCCGGGAGACCATTCCACAGCTGCGGAGCTCTGTAAGAGAATGCTCTGCAGCCTGCCGTAGCCCTGTCTACTTTAGGAACTAATAGATATCCTGCTCCTTGTGAACGAAGCAGGCGAGAAGGGTTGTAAGGGACCAGAAGATCATTGAGATATTGTGGTGCAAGGCCATTCAGAGTTTTGTAAGTCAATAGTAATAATTTGTAGTCAATCCTAAACTTGACTGGTAGCCAGTGCAGGGAAGACAGGATAGGGCTAATGTGATCAAATTTTTTAGTTTTTGTTAGAACTCTGGCAGCTGCATTTTGTACTAACTGAAGTTTATGAACCTGTCTTCAAGCCCTGGGGCCCCAGTTGATCGACCTTAATCAGAGACAGTAGGTAAGATACTGAGTGAGGAAATCAGATCTTTAACCACCTTGGGTTTGTTGGATCAATGTTTTCCATGTGTGTTTCTCAACACTATAACAATAGTTGTGATCTTGGCAAGACCGATCTTGCTAACTTGCCTCTCTTCAACAAACTTGGGCTGCAACGAATCATGGGATTGGTCTTGTTTGGCATGGACACAACAGATGTGTCCTTGCTATTTGGAGTGAGGCAAGAACTATATCCAGGGATTTTTACCATCCTCTGTGCTCCTGTTCTTGAGTATTGGTTCTCATCTTCAGCATTGGAAGATGATGTAAAACGGGCACAAAAGAACACAAGTACGGTCAGGTACGTGTATTGAGAAACAGCCCATGAATGGTGTCATGGGTAAAGAGAAAGAAGTATTGTGTGCATAAGGAAGAGCTGAGAGAGGAAGTGAGGCTCTGGATCTGGGGTGAGGAATGAGGAAATGGCTGGAAGGCAACACATACAGCGATCCCAAGCAGCAGGACAAGGAGGAGACGGCAAGAGGGCCACACAAGCAGTGATCCCTAGCAGGACGAGGGACACAGGGACAGAAATCTGAGAAGAACCCCTTCCTCCTCTCTGAGCAGCTGAACTTCTGGTTTAGGTGTTTGCATTATCTCAGCCCTTTACTTTATGCAGGACACAGCACAAATTCCACTTTATGGTATCGTCTGACCAATTTTAGTAACCATTTTGTTCTAGAACAACATGCCGCTAATAATAATATTACACCAGTTCCGCAGTATTTGTGTAGGGACTGGCTATATGGGTAGACGAAGAGATTTACTCATTAACTGATTAGGCTGACACTTTTTAAACTGAACTTGCTGGACTGACGTTCTCCCTTCTGTACAAACATGTAGTTCTCAGTGAAAGCTATACGCTGTTATACCCTGTTGTGGGCAGTGGTGGCTTAATGGTTAGGGAAGCGTACTTGTAATTGGAAGATTGCAGGTTTGAATCACCGACCAACAAGTCACCACTGAGCAAGGTATCATCCCCAAGCACTGCTCCCCGGGCACTGACTTAGCTGCCCCCTGCTATGTCACATACAGTATGGGTTAAATGCAGAGGACACATATTGTTGTTGTGCACTGTGTGCTGTGGTGTGTCAACAATGACCATTGATCACTAAATTCAAAAGAAGCAATCTTTGGCCTTCTTAAGTGCAACCGAAAACATGTGCATTTTCCAACCTAAATTAATCAAATTAGCCTAACATGTATGGATACATAGACAAATAAACCCAGCTACAAGACCTCTAAAAACTTCTAACAGTTTCCAACTAGTAACACTATTGTTATTACTGATCAAAGTCACATTCATTAGCTTATAACCTCACGTCATACCTATCGATTTGCACTAGTGACAAAAGAAATCCAAACAGCAGTAGCAGTAGCTATCCCGGGAGGACAGGAAATCTCATACTCACAGCGAAGCCATAGTTGTCCTGGCCATTGGAGTCCTTCTTGAGAGGCATGGGAGAGTGTGGAGCATCAGGACGTCTCAGGTGTGCTCAGGCAGAATGGGAAGGCGGAGCTGGATTTGGGGAGAATGTGAGATCGAGAGAGAGAGAGGGAGAGAGAGAGAGGAAGAAAGTAGTGGGACAGCAAACGACAAAGGTACAGAGGAAGATGAATACAGTTGTGCAGCCAGGTCTTGTTGGAAATCAAGCCTCAGCGCTGTTTCCCTTAAAGCCGACAGGAAGGAGCCTGCGAGGTGGTGGCAAGGCAGGCAAAATCCACGTTATAACTGCTGCCACGGCGGCGTATGCAGTATGAGCGGAAATACTCGGCTGTTTCAGGAAGGACGGTGCTCTGGTGGTGCTTCTGTGTTCGGCGCCCTAATCCCACAGGATTTCAGGTCGTAATCCTGCCTGAGCCACATGGTCGTGGATCTGAACTCACATTCTTCATTCTCAAATGCACCGAGGTCACGGCGAATGTGTCACTGTTTGTGTGTTTGTGTGTCACAGTGAACGTGTCACTGTGCATGTGTATGTGTGTGTCAGGCCTCTCTATTCAGTCTCCCTGATGGTCCGTGTTGGATGCTTAACTTGATTAGGACCCAGCGTAGAGCCGGATTAAATGTGGACTGTGGTTATGACCTTGCTTTGGTATTCGGATCCGATTTCTGCTTTTCTATGAATCCTTCATTATTACACAAAAGGGCCTTTTGTTTCCTTTTCTCACTGACATTTCAGTAAAACGAAATACAGTTCTGATGGAGATTTATATGTGTAGTAGTTTTTTCCTTCAAAAATGTGAACTGCAGCATAAAGATAAATAAATACCAGCTGAAGGCTGAAATCAACAGAAGCAAAGGTTTTTCAGGCATGTCTGTTTTGGAAGAGAAAGTCACCTAGATCATTTTAAAAGCTAACAGGTCTGAGTTCAGCTCTCTGGAAAATGTTTAACTTATTGTTCCTCAAGTTAGGGTTTTATAGCATAAAGTTCAGCTTATTTATTGTTTATGTGAATGCCATACATAAGCTATCCATCAAACTTCTACCTGCTTATCCAGTACAGCTTTGTAGAGAGCCTAGGATTGTGCCCTTGGCTTTATAAACAAACTTTAAAGATGTAAAGAAGTCTGGCTGACTTCAATGTGTAATGTCTATTTATGTCCTCTAGGTGGTAATATACTCCGTTTAAAAACCCACTTAATCACTGTATCAAAGCAACTGATTAACCCATCACAACAGCCAGCAGCATGCCAGACCTGAGCAAAGGTGAAGCAAGTCTGTAAGAGGCAGAGTTTCATACATATAATTCCAGTAATTAGAGATGAACACTCTCTATTGTATTATTATCAAGTAAGACATCTCTGAAGTCCATCAACTGCAGGAAAAGGTAGCCTTCCCTGTTAACCAGCAGGGATACACAGGCCAGAATCCTGCAGTCTTGCTCCATAATGGAATCCCTGAGAAAAACAACTATTTACCCTGGGAGCTTAAAGGACTGCAGCAAGATGGGCAGCAATTCAAGGGTGTACAACTGTGCATAAAGCTTCAGAAAACAATGTAAAATACACAAGTAACACTGTGAATGTTGGTAATTTGAGTGGCTGCTGATATGAGTGGGAGAGTATTTTAAGAGTTAAGAGTTATTTTAAAAACAAAGGTTAGAATTTGATAGACTTCATTTACTTTTCACCAACATCTATTTTGCAAGAATGGATGTTTGTGATCGGCAAAATAAAACAAAAAAGAACCAATACACTAAGGGTGTGTCCGAAATCACGCACTTGCGCACTTTTAATGCGCGATTTTAGGGCGTAGTGCGATTCACACTGACAACTAAGCCAAAATTCAGTGCACTGAAAGTACCCGGATGGTGCACTGAAAACGGCCAGAAAACGCAGTGCAGAATGATGGACACTACTCGCACTAAACGGACGCCATTTTTACTACGTAGCGGAAGAGGAGGGACTTTCGGCAAGTTTTTATTGTTAAATTAAGGCGGACAACAACACAGACACGTAAGCCCAAGCGGAGGCAACTGCTTCATATAAATCTAAGTAACGTTAATATAATTATTTTACTGATGTATACTGCGGTGTGTAGCCTGTCACTCTCTGACGACAGTCATAGATAATTTGTTTGAGTTGAGTTGTTTGAGAGCCCCCAGGTTCCCACCAATAACAGATACCCAATGAGAGAGCACCACAGCGTCAGATACCCAATGAGAGAGCGCCACAGGTTCCCACCAGTACCAGATTCCCAATGAAAGAGTGTCACACCCTCTCTCCAACAACCGGAGGCGGCCCTGTTCTCTGTCGAATTTGACATATTCATGTCTTGATTCACCTCTCCTGGAGCGGACACCTTATCGTGGTGGAGGGGTTTGTGTGTTTTATGCCCCTGGTAGAGTCACCCAAGGCAAACAAGTCCTGGGTGAGGAACCAGATGAAGTGCGGCTCATTAGACCCCTTATGATGACAAACAACATGGATTCATGTTTTCCTTCGCCCGGGCACAGGTCACCACCCCCCCCCCCCCCCCTGGAGCCAGACCTGGGGGTGGGGCTCGATGGCAAGCGCCTGGTGCCCAGGCCTGTACCGATGGGGTTTGCCCGGGCAGAGCCTGAAGAAGGCTCGTGGATCCCCCCTCAAATGGGCTCACCACCTATAGGAGGGGCCATAGGGGTCGGGTGCAGTGTGAGTTGGGCAGTGGCCGAAGGCGGGGACCTTGGCAGTCCGATCCTCGGCTGCAGAAGCTAGCTCTAGGGACATGGAATGTCACCTCTCTGACAGGGAAGGAACCTGAGCTGGTGCGCGAGGTTGTGAGGTTCCGACTAGATGTAGTCAGGCTCACCTCGATGCATGGCTTAGGTTCTGGAACCAGTGTCCTTGAAGGGGGTTGGACCCTCTCCCACTCTGAAGTTGCTCGCAGGTAGAGGTGCCGAGCAGGGGTGGGCATACTTATTGCCCCCTTGCTGGGTGCCATAAGGTGGCCGGTGCCTGTCGCGACGGCAATCCCTGAACCCGCTCGTGGACACCGGCGGTGAGGGATGCCGTCAAGCTGAAGAAGGAGTCCTATCAGGCCTTTTTGGCCTGTGGGACTCCATAGGCAGCCGATGAGTACTGGCGGGCTGAGTGCAATGCGGCTTTGGCGGCTGCTGAGGCAAAAACTCTGGTGTGGGAGGAGTTTGGTGAGGCCATGGAGAACAAATTTGGATGGCTTTGAGGAGATTCTGTCTGCCATCCGGCGACTCAGGACAGGAAAGCGGTGCAACATCAACACTGTTTATGGTGGGGATGGGGCGCTGCTGACCTCAGCTCGGAACGTTGTGGGTCAGTGGAAGAAATACTTTGAAGATCTCTTCAATCCCACTGACACGCCTTCCAATGAAGAAGCAGAGTCTGGGGACTTGGGGGTGTACTCCGCCCCTGTCTCTGAGGCAGAGGTCGCTAAGGTGGGTAAAAAGCTCCTCATTGGCAGGGCCCTGGGGCTGGATGAGATCCGCCCCAGAGATCCTTAAAGCTCTGGATGTTGCAGGGCTGTCCTGGTTGATACGTTGATCTACAGCATCACGTGGACATTGGGAGCAGTGCCTCTGGATTGGCAGACCGGGGTAGTGGTTCCTCTCTTTAAGAAGGGGGACCAGAGGGTGTGTTCCAACTATAGGGGGATCACACTCCTCAGCCTCCCTGGTAAGGTCTATTCTGGGGTTCTGGAGAGGAGGGTCCATCAGATTGTTGAATCTTGGATTCAGGAGCAGCAGTGTGGTTTTCGCCCTGGCCGTGGAACAGTGGACCAGCTCTGTACTCTCGGCAGGGTCCTGGAGGGTGTGTGGAAGTTTACCCGACCAGTCTACATGTGCTTTGTGGACTTGGAGAAGGCATTTTACCGTGTCCCTCAGGGAGTCCTGTGGGGGGTGCTCCGGGAGTATGGGGTGCCGGGCTTCCTTATAAAGGCTGTTTGGTCCCTGTACGACCGGTGTCAGAGCTTGGTCCGCATTGTCGGCAGTAAGTCGGACTCGTTTCTGGTGAGGGTTGGACTCCACCAAGTGGGACCCTTTGTCACCGATTCTGTTCATAACTTTTATGGACAGAATTTCTAGGCACAGCCAGCAGCTGGGATGAGAATCAGCACCTCCAAATCCGAGATCATGGTCCTCAGCCAGAAAAGGGGGGAGTGCTCTCTCCGGGTCGGGGGGGGGGTCCTTCCCCAAGTGGAGGAGTTTAAGTATCTCGGGGTCTTGTTCATGAGTGATGGAAGGATGGAAATGGAGACCGACAGGCGGATCGGTGCGGCGTCAGCAATGATGCGGGCGCTGCATCGGTCTGTCATGGTGAAGAAGGAGCTGAGCCAAAAGGCAAAGCTCTCGATTTACCAGTCGATCTACGTTCCTACCCTCAGCTATGGTCACAAGCTGTGGGTAGTGACCGACAGAACGAGGTCGCGAATATAAGCGGCCAAAATGGGTTTCCTCCGCAGGGTGGCTGGGCTCTCCCTTAGAGATAGGGTGAGACTCAGAGTAGAGCCACTGCTCATCTACATCGAGAGGAGCCAGATGAGGTGGCTTGGGCATCTGGTGAGGATGCCTCCTGGACGCCTCCCTGTTGAGGTGTTTTGGGCATGTCCCACTTGGAGGAGGCCCCGGGGAAGACCCAGGACACACTGGAGAGACTCTCAGCTGGCCTGGGAACGCCTCGGGATTCCCCCGGAGGAGCTGGACGAAGTGGCTGGGGAGAGGGAAGTCTGGGTTTCCCTGCTTAGTTTGCTGCCCCCACGACCCAACCTAGAAAAGCAGTAGAAGATGGATGGATGGATTTATGGATGGATGGATGGATGGATGGCAGAAGCTCCGAAATGCTGGAGGTATGGGTGGCTTAGAGGAGGCGGTGGGCACATCCAGACCAAGTAACCCATCAGAAAGGTGAGCTGAAATCAGTCTAACTTCAGGTTGCTTACTGTGTACTCAGGGAGGGAAGGTGATCTCTGTGTCCAACCTGGTCAGTTCCATCCCACTGTGTCTGTCCTTCCCCGGATCAACCAAATTTCCCTCAGATCCACACCCCAGCCCAAGATTCAGCTGCAGCTGATTAGCAGATATCTCTGGACTGGACCTGTATCACTCTGGATCGTGCCCGTTGAGATTTATTTTCACTTAAATCACACCAATAAGCTTTTGCCATTATAAGACTGCTAACTGCTAAAGAACATGATGGTATTAAAGAGCATACTTTTCAGTATTACCCTTGAATGACCTCTGATTCATTAAGAGTCAGAATGCCATTCCTTCACCCCAAAGAGGGGGTATGAATATATCCACCAGCATCCACTAAACCGGCAGCAGATGGTCAGAGCTGACAGGTCTAAGTATGCAGGTCACAACTTCCATCACTGCAAAGAACCAAAGTGCAAAAAGACGCAGTGTCATAAAAGCTCAAGTTAAAGAGGCATAGGAGACTATTAGTGACTAGGGCAAGAAGAAGAGGGCAGGAGGATGAGCGCATATGAAGCTTATAACAGCATCTTAGAAAGAGGAACACAGACAAAACAGGAGAGAGCTCCATGAATATGAGGTATTTAATATCGTGTTATTTTTATAAATCTCCCAGCATGTGTTGTATAATAAATGGTGTTTCACTGCCCAAAATGGCTGAAATAACTGTGGAGGTTACTAAACAACCAAAAAATGCAGAAAGCCATGCTTCTTTCAATTTGTATCTCATGATACAGACCTGATCCCTTACCTACCATCCCGTTCTGCTCATAGTAATCAACAGTTCTTTAGCTGTTTACAACCCCAAATATGATATGATATGAGCCTCTCTTAAGTGAACAAACTCCCCTCGCTGTTAGAGAACTGACTCGTGTTACTATCACGTCGACATTAGAGTGCTACCCATGGTTTCCTGATTACAGCTGTTGACAGAGTGTACAGCAGGGTCCATAAAACAGATCACTTCCCAGAAGTGACTCACTTTTACCTGCTCTTCACTTTTGATTGACGGACACAGTATTCACCCTGAAGAGAGATACAAAATGACTAATGAATGACAGACCAAGATGAAGAACCTTGTTCTTTCCTAAGCAGTGTCACAATGTTCATTAAATACACTTGAATACAGAGAGACTTGTTTTTTATGGATTACTCTGAATTCCAGAGAAAACACAAAACCCATACCCTGTACCCCAATTTTCTTATTTGTTTTACCTGTGAAGGGTGCTGTCATGTTGTGTGGGACGGAGGATGCGACAGCAGGGGAGGTTGCAAAACTAAAGGGGGTTTTACTGACTCAGCGGAACAAAGACTGGAAATAAAATGGATCTCGAGGTATCAAAATAGGAGGAACGAAGGAAGGCAGGGCACAGGCAACACAAGGGTCTGACATCACTGACTGGACTGGTGAACACAGGACTGGGAAGCACTTATATACAAGACTTATGAGGGAGCTAATGAGAGGCAGCTGGAATGATTAACACAAGGGTTAGGAACAAGAGGCAAAACAAGCAACAGACATGGCTTGTTAGGGCCATGCCCAGGAGGAGACAGGAGGGTCAGGTGGACGTGGTGGGCAGGATGTGACAGGTGCATTGTGGGACAGTGACTCTGGACTGATCTCTGCAACTGCTTTTAGTCCAATGGCTTGTGTTATTGCAGCAGTTGTCTTGTTTCACTGTAAAATACAATATAACTTTTTAAGCTTTTAAACTCTTAAGCTATTCACCCACCTCCCTTGAGGTGTAGTTACTGAGTGCCATAGTTTGGTTACTCGCAAAATAGCACTGATTGTGGATATTTTAATCCATGTAAAAGAGTCACTGCAGATCAAACTTACCCAGAGGCTGAAATAATGTCATTAAGCCCATAAACAGTTACAGTTTGATATAATGTCTATTAACCAGTCCGGCATTCATAAAGAGTGCTAAATATGGTAGCAGGAGCTACATGGTTATAGGAAAACAAGGGGGATTTTGTATTTCACTGTTACTGTTTTTCTCAAATGGGGGTAGTAAATATAAGAAGATATAGATACAGTTTAGAAACATGGATTAGTCACCCTAGAAATGTACAAGTATGAAAATCACATTAATTGAATTGATATATTGGCAAGCATTCAGGTAAAGGCAACTTATATTCATTAAATGTAAACTTACAGTTTTGCTAATTCTATTAATTCTGGTCATTATCTCCAGGGTCATTATGTCCAGGGTTCAGAGACTGCAGGGACAGACGCCCACCCTAGGGCGCTAATGCAAGCCGCCACTCGGTTACCCAGTTCAGAGGAGACAGGGACAGACGCCCGCCCTAGGGCGCTAATGCAAGCCGCCACTCGGTTACCCAGTTCAGAGGAGACAGGGACAGACGCCCGCCCTAGGGCGCTAATGCAAGCCGCCACTCAGTTACCCAGTTCAGAGGAGACAGAGACAGACTAAACGTGTACTTCCATGCTTGCTCACTAAATTTTGCTTTTATGTAAGTATTGTGTCTTACGTTTTCTAGTTAACTAGCCTCTTCAAATTTAGATCTTCTTGGAGCTTACTACTACTACTTATATACTATTTAAGCTTAGATCTTCTTGGACGTATCACTGCTCTTCCTCCACGAGGAAACAAAGTTGATCTTCAGAGATTCCCTCCCAACGCACAGAATATTTATAAAAATAATAATAACTGGAATTTCACTTTTTCAATGACCTCTGCGCGTTAAAATCAGCATTTTACAGAGCCAAATAATATGACCCGATTCTGGGTGGGGGGAGATTCCAATAATATATATATATATATATACATATAAACCGATGTCTCTAGAGTGATGCCTGAACATTAAGAGCAGTAAGAACTGCAGCTTCAGTCCCGTTATCTTATCGAGAGCCCGGCGGAGACCGTGACGTCACCCAGCAGAGGGATGGATGGAAGCGGTGCGCTGCACACTCGGCTTTGGGGCGGCCGGGAGGCTCGGTATCTAGTTCTGCATGAATAAGCAAAAAACACAAGACAGTGGATGTCTGGATTATCGTGGCAAGGAAAGCATGCCATAAGGGGGCTTTAATACCTTACTGTTTTAACAGTAGCACATTGGGGGCTATTTGGATTCCTTTTTCTATCTTTAACGGATCTCTCTTCTTGCCGTAGAGAAGAGCGCCTGTGCGCTTGATCTTCATTTAGTCTTGGGTTCCCTTTAATCTGATACCACCGAAGAGAGATTTTCTTTTACTATTTTCTCGACCTCCGCCTCTCTGTCTGTCCGACGCCAGGACGGGTGTGACGGGGGAGAGAGAGCGTGCGAAGGACGATGGCCGCTTGCAGAGAATGCGGGGAGACCGTGGATCGGTACCGGGCTGAGGTGGAGCGGCTCACACGGGAACTAGCCGAGGCGAACCGTGAGAAGATCCGGGCGGCGGAATGCGGTCTGGTGGTGCTGGAGGAGAACCAGAGCCTGAAACAGCAATACACTGACCTGGAGGCGGACCAGGAGACACTGAAGCGGGAGTTGGAGAGGCTGCAGGAGGTACGGTCATTCACCGCCGCAGCTGTCACTGGTTCATAACTCCCAGTTATCGCGCTGTTTGTCTGATCGCAACATTTGTTCCTGATCGATAACGGAGAGTAATTTATTTTTAACGAGAGGTACGATGCAGACCCGTCCGGTTTATATTTATTTGTTGTTACTGGGGAAGTATATGTCCAAGGTACGTCAGAGATTCAGGTGAGGTGTATATATACATACTGCTTATTGTAGTAGTAGTAGTAGTAGTTGTTGTTGTTATTATTATTATTATTATTATTATTATTATTATTATTATCCGAGGGCTGGCTGTGCATTTGGGGAGGTGCAAAGGAAAACTAAACTAGTCACTAATAAGTGCCATCGCCCTATGCGTCACTTACTATAGTGCTGTATTTGTGCGCATGGTTCCTGGTGCAAAGCGAGCAGAGGTGGCAGCTCTCGCTGTCAGGCGCGCATTCTTGCTCTATGCAGGCTGAGCTACTTACGTCGGCGTAAAGTGCTTGGTTTTCTGATTCCTGAAATGTCAGGTAGGGTCCAGAGTCACGAGAATGAAACAAATGTTTTCCCCCAGAAGCGTGTCCTAATGGAGGAAAACGCGTGTTACGGAAAAGTGACTATAAGGATTCTTTGTAAGAATAAGCCTTTGTGTCACAGTGCAGTGGCACCATTTTGGCGTTCGACTGGCACCTCTTCCTGTCCCTTACTTAATGCTGTGTACATGTGGGTCGTATAGGGGCCACAAGCCTTACATTTCCATGTGGTGAGAACCCATAACTTAACCTGAATCCACACTCCACACCTCTTTTTGCCCAGGGATGTGGACATCCCCACATCAGTAAGTGAGTCACATTTTATTCTGAGACCCTGTAAGTTATAATATTTAGATGTACTGTTATTGTGGCTTTGTGGTGTTGCTATGACAGTGTTGAGTTAATTAAGACACTCCACTCCACAGCAGCGCTTTGTGGTTTCCTGTGAGCCCTTCTGTGCCAGACCGAGCAGACACCCCCACCGCGTGGGCACCACACCCGGTGTGTAGCATGGCACAGTGTGATACTGTGATGGCCTCAGACACGGCATGGGTGCCTGCTGGACTGTTCAGCTGGGCAAGGGCCCATTTGTCCACCCTGAGTACAGGTGGTGACAGCGAGGGGGCACACTGCCAAAAGGGTCACAGCACGGCCCCCCAGTACTGACAAGCGTCTCAGCTCTGACAAACTCCAAGGCATTCAGAGGCCAGTTTGCGGGGTTGACATCAACCCCTGTCATATGGCTTATGCCTCAGATAGTTCAGTATACCTATTTCCTCTCAACATCTATCCATCAAAGATGGGATCTTGTATCAAAGATGGGATCTTCATTTTAATTGTGTAAAATTAATGAATGTTTATAAACTAGAGGGGTTTCAGATTTTGAACTGAGAATTGTTCAGCATCGAGTATCATTCAGCATGAATTACTGACTGTATTTAATAGGTGTAAGTCAGCCTGAATAGGCATATGTGTGTCAGTAAGGAGATGTGTTAGATATCACTGTTTTTTCAGTCCGTTAACCAAACATAGAGTTTGTGTGTTATCCCTGAACATGTTGCATGCAGGGGTACTGGTGTTGTGAAACTGGACTACAGGCTTCTCTATGTGCGGCCTGGTACATCACGGGGTGCTAAACTGTCATGGCGGAGTCTGGACATCAGCCTGCTCACCCTGTAGGTGTCAATCACTTGTCTCATGCCCCAACGTAAGCTAAGTTATTTTGGGAAATAACCTGTAGTCTTCTCTTTTTTACACGTTTGGTGTCAGCCTCTGGTCTCTGTACTTTTTCTGACGCTATTTATGGTCAGTTGCATAACTGGTGCTTTTACCCGAAGTGACTTCAGGAGACCTCTGCCAGATGGCGTCTCTGTAACCCCGAGACCCTCCCAAACGCTCTTAATGAGCTGGATAGAGGTGGGACACGCAGTATTTTTACCTCGCTGGGTAGTGTGGCTTCTGGGTGTGTGGCTGCTTGCTCTGTTTCTCTCCATGCTGGTTGTATCTGTCAGCCTAGCGCAGTGCTGATAGGGGAGGTTCCGGGCTGGTGGAGCCTCGCCCTCCTTATGGCTGTTCCCCTCATCCCCTTGCTGATACCATAAACAACCTGCAATAGCTTCTTCAGGTGTGCCGTTCTATTTGACCTCTTCGGGCCACCATACGACTTCCTTCATACTCCAGGATCCCATATATTGGCTGTGTCCGAATTCAGGGGCTGTGTTCTTCGACGGTTGAACAGAAAGCAATTGTCAAGTGGGACCTTATAGCTACTGATAATTTGGTTTTTGCACCAGTTGTTCCCGCTCTCACCCTTGAGTCACAAGGCACCGCTCCTATCGCCTAGCCGGTACACACCCATTTTACCTCTGCGCAATGAATCTTGGGATATGTTGGGCTGCAAAAGATCCCTTGGGTGGATCCTTTGCAAGTCGGCAAGAGAAGGACACATTTATGGACCGTATTTGAAGGAGCCTTCCAAATGGGAGGTTCTTGTTGTGCTGCTGTGATGTTTTCCGACTTTTAATACAGTCTTAGAAGGATGCAGGCCCTGAATTTGACCACTGCCACTGAAACTCATTATTCTAACTTCTGAGGCTTGAGTTCATTTGAAATCCTTTTGTGTTTTGATCTTCCTGTGGCAGACCAGGCATCTCCAGCCACCTTTCCCTCCGTTCGTACCGACGGCCCTCAGAGATCCGTTACTTATGTTTGTACATTTTACCCTAAAAGAAACGACTAGTCAAGCAGCTCTAATTACGGAGGACATGGCAGTGACTGATGAAAGGCACGGGTTGGACCTCACTCGTCCATCCATTCTCATCACAGGCCAGACTATCGATCTGCTTCGCTGCAAAGTCTGACCTCTCTTCAGGATCGCTTTCCCACAGTGGTACGACGGAAGCTGTCGACTTCACTGTCTCATCGTGCCCTTCTGCTGTGCTAATTCTGCAACCGTACTTCATGTGTCTGTTTAAGCTTTTCCTCCCTAAACTGAATAATCTCTTTCGATGAAACATAACTTTGTAGATCAAAGTAAAAACCTGGTGGAGTTATTGATGTCTTAGTGGTCCTGAGCTATTAGTTATGCAGCCTTTGAATGTGATCAACATGACAGTATTATTTAGCTACTTAGCTTTTCATGTCAGCTGTGAATATTACCAATATCGATAATAGTTTTCTATCCAGGAGGTGGTTCTTTGGTTTATGTTAATAAATTTGTTCATATTACAGGAGAAAACTAGATGCAATGTCTGTAAAGACTTAGCCAGCATGTTCTAGAAAGGAAGATTATATAGCTGGCTGGAAAGTCGCAATGGGCTTGTTTGGTTTCCACAACCTCTCAAAGTGAACAAAATGCAGCAAGATGAGATTTGTTCTTTTCGGCAAATTTAGGCGAAGGTGTAGTTTTTTACTTTAGTTTTTTATTTTGATCTTCTCTCAGTTTGTTTTCATGCAGGTTTCCTCCAAGTCCTTTGTCTGTAGTCCAAAGAGATATGTGTCAAAGTTGCTCATAGTATATATGTGTGTGCGTTCATGTGTGTACATGCGTGTGTGTGTGTTCATGTGTGTGTGTGTGTGCATGCATGTGTGTGTGTCTGCACGCTTGTATGTATGTGTGTGTGTGTGCATGTGTGTGTGTGTGTGTGTGTGCGTGTGTGTGTGTGTCTGCATGCTTGTGTGTGTGCGTGTGTGTGTGCGTGTGTGTGTGCATGTGCGTGTACCTTCTGGTAGACTGGCATCCAGTCTAGAGGTTACAGGTGCCCTGTGTTGCCTGGAATTGGTTCCAGACCCTCCCATGACCCTATGTTTGATTACCAATTGAAAGCTGGATTGATTGATTTAACCACAGTTGTCCAGGCAGACAGGAAGCATTTCTAGCAGTGGCCTGCAGTAACCAAAGCAGTGAGGAGAATGCAGAAGATCATGCATTAAGCTCCACAGCCACGTGGAAGCACCTTCCAGCAGAGCCCCAGGGGGGCGTCGCCTTGCTGCCAACCTGTGACGTCATCTCAAGAGAGACAGCAGACGGGTCCCAGAGGCCGTGAGGCCAGCCAGCCCCCTCATAGCAGCCATTTGTCCCTCATCACCCCGACTCTGCCTGTTGGTCTAGGTGGACCTTTCCCTGAGTTTGGTGTGGGGACCAGATCACAGAGAATAATGTTCAGAAGATTCATCAGACCACTAATGGGACATCATGCATAACTATGCAAATTAGGTCTTTAAGATAACATATGGATGAGGTTCTGCAGTGTCTCTGTTAGGGCCAAGCTCAGGGCGACACTACTGCCTTAAACGCACTGCAATGGCGGAGGGGTGGAGTGCAGTGTACTAAGCTACATAAAAGCTCCTTTCCAGAAACCACAGCCTTACTTAGCCTTCTTCATACAGCCTTCAGTCATTGTGCTTAACATTGTTTCATAGATTGTTCCGATTACAGTGAATATTTAAACCGCTACAGATTTTCTTGTAGTGTCACAGTTAAAATCTCAATGTTATATTGAGAGCTAGGAGTTAACAGAGAGCTATAGTGTGGAGAGTAATGAAGAGAGGGTGGCTTCTGGGCCTGGTGGAGGAGAAGAGCGATGGAGCCAGCTGAGGGGAGGAGGAATGTGGATCAGCATGGTAATGTTCTACATTCACCGCTTACAGACCTTAGCAGGCATAGTGACCCTCAACTCTCTAACAAACGAAAGGAAACCAGGCCAGCAGACCAGAAGCCCAGGTCCAGGAGAATGAGGAACCTGGACCAACAGCCAAGATGGCTGTGAACCAGCAGAAGGGATCAGAGGTGGAATGTTTCAGGTACAAATGCAGACCAACATTTTCAGGTTCAGGATAAAAAGTCACATTCATATTGGACTTATTTGGATTGTTGGGACAAAATCTTGGCCTGGATTTGGACCCCTGGACCTGACCTTTCCACCTCTGGAATATGGAGGTCCAGTTCCAGGAGAAACGAGGAACGTGAAG